TGTGCTCTTCCGATATGTTGTTACAGTGTTTATTTTTGTTTTCAACCGAAACAAATTTAAAATAATGTTAGATTTTTATAGTCTTTCCTTAGTGCAATCTTATATTTGTATTTTTTTCCCACTGTGATTTATGTAAGAGAAAGACTGATAAACGTTTATATTTATATCATTAATGTTACATTAATGTGCATATTTTATTTAAAAATTATATCTAATGTTATACACAATTCTATTTCCTTCAATTAAATGCGTTATATTTTGAAATCTGGATGTGTAACGACTAATGCAGTCATTGTAACAATTGACTCCGCATATGGGATCGATTGTTACAAGTTGCATCACTTTACATTTTCCATTAATACAACAAAATTAATTATATTATTAAATTATAAAAATAATTTGTATATTGTTAAAGCATGTGATTATTGAAAAATATCTTTGCGGTATTTATTTTATCTATTAGTTACATGTATAAAAATAATAAAAAAATTGTATCAACCAGCTCCGGTCTCCCCTAGATATATATGTAAAATACATATCAATAATACGTATTTATAAATTATAATATATAAATTAGAATATAATATATGTTAATATAAATTATGTTAATATAAAATATATTAATAATAATATAATATATATTATGTTAATATAAAATCTAATCTTGAGACGAAAGTTCAAATTATACACAAATTATTAGAATGCCATATGGTCTAAAGCAGATCTCTTGATGCTTAATAATAATTGTGTATCTTTTTACAATTTCCAGTTCAGATAAACTGCGCTAAATATTTATCGATCTTGAAACATCAGTTCAATTCTAAACTGAATATGAACTGCATAATATCCCAAATTAAATTGACAAGTAATTTAACAATTTTGATGCCAATGAGCACCTTGTTAAATTCTGTAGAATAACTTATTGACGATCTATTAATCTACTTCAACTAATTTTATTTTGAAAAATATTTTGAAAAATATTCTGTTGATTTCAATCTTTTTTTCTATGTGTAAATGGTACTTTATACTATTATTAATTTAATAATTAAGAAAATAATGAATCAAATAATCGAGAAATACTGATTACGAATAATAAAATAATTGAAAAATTTTTAGGTCTATTGATTAATCAAATAATTAGAATTATTACATTATAATTATTGATTAATTAAGTAATCAAAAATTCTTCAAATTTGATTAATGATTATTTAAGAAATCGTTAATTAAAACTAAAAATATTACTAAAAATATTGATAATGCCGATCTCAGAGTGTGTGTATATAAAATAAATATATATAAATAAAAACAAGTTTCAAAAATTTGTTATATTATAAATTAATAAA